ACCATAAAACTAACTCTACATAATTTTACAAAGTCATTTTACGGGTTCATGGCCAATAACCAAGCCCAGTTATCCACATACCAATATTGCTGTGTAGACAAAAAATGGACCATAGCAATCTTGATTTTACCAGACACAACTTGACTGCTTTTCCAATCTAGAAGCTTGTCTATAAAAAAGGACTTCTCCTTTATGGTGAATGAATGGTGCTCAGCATTTTTATAAAGTAAATTTGAATTTATTTCTTTGGGTATTAATTAATTGATTAATTTATAAATTTCTTTATAATTCATTCATTCGTTTATGCATTATCACTGGGGAAATAATGGAATTTCAGACTTGAGATAACCTCAAGGCAATCCCTTCTGATGTACAATGTTCATAAGATTCCATGTACCTAACAAATGTTCATATTTTAGACTTTATTACATGATCCATGTTTCCTCAAGGGAGCCTCCATTTGGAACATTTCTATACATTTTCTCCTCATTGTGTCTTCAGTTGAACACTCAAGCAATTGTTGTCATAAGACATGAGGTGAGTTGATGCATGTGATCATAGATACAGGGCACAAAAAACTAGGGCAAAAGAGAAAGCCCATGTAAAGGCAATACATGTATTTGACTCCTTCCAGAAAACTAAATAATAGAGGGTTTATTTCTTCTTGTGTCATCCTGACATGAGAGAATCTCTGGAAAGTGTAACTTTGTTAATTTCAAAGAAATGTGTAAAATAGCAGTGGAAGATATCTGTCCTTGACCACTGGAAAACATGACACAAGTCAGTATGTGTCCAGGTTGAGGAAAATACATCAAATACAGCTCAGAGTTGACAACAGCAATAGTTTGCATTTCAGTCTCAGACCTCTTCTAGAAAAGGTTGACATCCATGGTGGTCAGATGGTGAGATGCAAAAATTTGTCCCATGGATCTCAGTTGGAAGACACTGAAAAGAATTCAGATAGCTAACTTGTGACTCTGCTGGATTGATGAAACTTCTTATGACAATTTAAGAAAATACCCAGCCATCAAAAAGTATGAAATCTTACCATTTACATTGACATTAATGGAACTGGAGGGTATTGGGCCAAGTGAAATAAGTCAATCAGAGAAAGACAATTATCATATGGTTTCCCTCATATGTGGAATGTAAGAAACAGCACAGAAGATCATAGGGGAAATAAGGGAAGACTGATGGGAAGAAATGATGGGAAAGAACCATGAAACACTCATAGCTATAGGAAAACAAACATGGCTGCTGGAGAGGAGGTGGGTGGGGGATGGGGTAATTGGGTGATGGGCATTAAGGAGGACACGAGATGTGAGGAGCACTGGTGAATTACTAAACTCTACATCCAAAACTATGATGCACTATATGTTGGCTAACTGAATTTAAATAAAAAGAAGCAAAAATATTGTGAGCTCTTTGTATTGTCAGTTGTTCATGACAGGAACTCTCACCAAATAAGTTTTACCCAATAAGGGCACCAGTGCCCAAAGTACTTGGAAAACTTATTTGGGGAAAATGTATGTCTTAAAGAAGGAAACAAACAGGAATACAAAACCTATTTCAAGTGTAATTTTGTAGAAATAAATAAGAAAGTTCTTCGGAAAACTAAAGCAACTCCCTCCTGACCTCATGTTTCTATGATCACATAAGTTCACCTGTACATCAATATGGTAGGGTATATGGAAGTACTTATATAAATATATAAATCATATATTTTAAATGCTGTTATCAGGATATGGAAGGACAATATTAAGAAAAGAAACATGGCTTTTGAAAAATGGACTGAAAGTTTACTTGATATGAGGAACACGTATAATGATGGAAGATGTGTTTTACTGTAAAACAATTACATATAAAGTCACAATGACATTTCATAAGAGTTTCTGGAATATATTAAATTATTGTCGGAGAAAAATGAAATTGAATCTAAAAATGAGTGAGCCTAAGAAGTAAAATCATTAAAAATGCAAACAGAGTTTAAATACTGAATCAGAGCAACTAGGTCTATTTATGACACTATATAGTTATAGATAGATAGAGATAAAGATATAGATAGATATATGCACATAAACAAACACTAAGGACCAACTTACTGTGTTTTTAAGAAAGTAGATATATATGGATTTGCTACAACACTATAATTATACATCCATTGGTTCACTTATTCTGAAAACATTCATTTACTAAATGGTTTATACAGATAAAGAAAAAACAAAAAAATGACGCAGATGGAAATGTTGTTCTGACAAATATCTTACTTCTCATTAAACAGATTACTTCTGACCAGAAAGAAAACAAGCACACTCATACAAGAGCAGGACTACCAAACTCCAGGAAGAGGCACAAAATCATGTGTACCTGGGCATCAGGCTCTGTAGTAAGCCTGGCATTCTGCTTGGCAGAGGTGAGCAAGGAAGAATTTCCACGATGCTGGATGCTCTATCAAACCGTGGTCACAAGGGCACAGTGTCCAGACATGAATGTCACAGGGGGCATATTCCATGCAAAGTCCAAGGACAGGCCAAAAAAACTGGGGCTACCAAATCTAAGACCAAGCAAATCATTCCCACAAAATGCAGATTTAAGAAGCCAGCATGCCATTGAGTGGTGGTGCATTATCAAGACATGAATTCCACAGTGCAGAATTACCAAGACATGAATTCCACAGTGGAGAAATAAGTACCATTCATAGGAGATAAAAGAAAAGGCATAGGTTTTCAGGAATTCCATTCTTCACTTAGGTATCCAGGGTTATCAAGGCAGACCAAAGGTCATGCTAAAGGCATCGAAGGTTGAGGAATGGCGAATCATGGCCACACGGCAGGAGCCCCAGAGCAGTGAGCTTTGACAGCTGACCTATCCCTCTCTCCAGGGACCTTACGAGAGCTCTGTGTACTGGACCATATACTGGGGCCTGCCTCAGCAAGGCTAGGCTCCCATGGGAGCCATGTACTCTGTTGTTTTGAGCTTCCCAGGGATGGGCATTGGTGCTCCTGTACCCTGTTCCTTCCTTTCAATCCCATGTAGTGTGCAGGTAAGCCTCAGGCCTGGCAACTCCCTGCCAGGCCTTCAGGAATGGCAGCTCCTGGCTGCAGGGCAGGTGCCCTGGAGCAGGGCATTTTGACAGCTGGCCAATCATTCTCTCCTTAGAACCTGTTCCAGTGGAGGATCCCACACTTAGGGCCAAGTCTTGCTTGGCTCAGCCCCTCCAAGAGGTCCAAAGTCTCCTGAGCTATGGGGCATGCAGCCCTACAGTAATACCAACTGGTAAGCAGGTTCTGGTGGGCAGTGACCTCATGCATCACCACTGGCTTAGTTGGGTCAACGATGAGAGCTCATATTGTCTCAATGAGAGTGATGATGACCTAAAAATCATGCTCAATAGGGTTATGCTGAGACCCAATGCAGGGGACCATGTAAGGGTCAGCATCCCCGAGATCCTCGGGACCCTGGGGGAGCACTACAGTTGGGGGCTTGAGGCAAATGATCACTTGACGCTCCCCACTGTGACCCTGGTTTGCCTGTGGGCCTCCAGGTTCCCATGAAGTGTTCAGGCATTTGGTCTGGCCTACCACCACATTTCTCTTACCAGGACAACTCCTAGGGAGCCATGGCTTAGCAACCCTGGTCTCCTTGAGTCATTCAGCAGGCCTTGGTCGCCAATTCCTCATCACAGCCTCAACCAAGAGAGGTGAGTGGAAGCTTAGAGAAGACTAAGAGAGAAACCCCAGATGCAATTGGGGTGGGTTCGGGGAGCCCACATCAGGGCATTGGCTCAGGCGATGGCATTAGCCTAGGGTGGGAGCACTCATTATCCAGATGGCATTGACTTTCTCATGAACATCTGCCCTTGAGCTATCCCATGTGCAGAGGAAAAGAAATGTTGGTTGAGACACAGACATAAACTCAAAAGGGTGGGAATGCTGCCATAGGCCTGTGTGCACCTGAGGGCTCCCGATGTATACAGGTGTGGACTGTGGGCCTCTGGATGGTGGATGTGGGCCCTTGGGATCAGAGGCCTCTGTCTCCTTCAGCTGCGGGTAGTTCCTCAAGCCCCACCCTTAACCATGCTTCCCAGCAGTGGAGAGGTCAGACCCCCTGTCACTTGCAACTGACTCCCAAAAAGTTTGGGGCACTGTAAACCTGCTTAACACACCACTCGCTGATTCCTTGTGTTTGTGAGACAGAAAGGTTCCACCGGACCTTGGGGAGGAAACGGTGAGTCCCAGATGATAGCAGGCATCGGGCCTGAGCCTCTGGCCCAGACCATCAACACCTCAGGTTGTGTTTCTGGGGAAGTAGTGCAACAGGGTGAGAGTCAAGACCCTTGTCCAGAGCAAGCCATGGACACCATAAATTGTTCTTGTGGTGGATGGTGGCCAGAGATTCATTCCTCAGGGATGGAGAACCTGGGTGCCTGGGCAAACTTTGGTATTGAGCGTCAAGGCCTGGTTCTGGGAACCAGAGATAGGCCAATCCATGGGAGGGTGACAGTTCACCCAAACTAGCAGAGCTGGCACTCTTCCCTTGAGAACCATGCAGAGAGAGGGGAGAGTTCTCAAGAACTCAGTGTGCATGGTCATGTACTGAAGCCTGACTCAGCAATAGTAAGATCAGGAGGGAGTAATGGATTCCATCAAGCAGGCTTGCCCAGGAATACGCATTGGTGAACCTGGAAACTGCACTCCTTGTGGACCCAAGAACTGTGCTGGAGAGAACCAGACATGAACACCACTTGCCAATCCTTCGAGAATGGAAGGACTTGGTCCTATGGCATGTGATCTGGAAAAGGGCATGTGGAAAGCTGGCATTTTAGTCTCTCCTTAAACGCATGTCCAGGGCAAGGATCCTACCAGGAATACAATTCTTCATTGACACCGAACAACCAGAAGGACCAAAGGCTCATCCCCACGTCATGGTATTCTAAAAAAAGGATCCACAGTAAGCAGGTTCTGGGTGGATAGGGACATCACATATCGCCCCGGAATTCTTGGGCGAAGATAAGAACTCATATGGTCTCGAAGAGCAAAGAAGACCTAAAAATCATGCTCAATACAATTACGAGAGCCCCAGTGCAGCAGTCTGTGTCGGGAAAGCATCCCCCAGACCCTAGGGACCCTGGAGGGGTGCTGCCATTGGTGCTTTGAGGCAAACGATCTCTCAGGGCTACCTGCTCTGGCCCTGGCCTGTCCTGGGTCCCCTAGAGGGGTTGAGGCATGCCGCCCGGCCTAGCGACCAATCCCCCGCCCAGGACAGATCCCTGGGTGCCATGGCTTAGGAAAGCTTGTCTCCTTGTGTCTTTCAGCGGGCCTTGGGCGCCAGGTTGTCAGCGCAGAGTTGCCCAAGAGGTGAGTGGGAGACTCCGGGCCTGGAGGGAGATACCAGGCGCCATAGGCGTCGTCTGAAAAGCCGGAATCATGGCAGGGTCTCTCGCTCCGGCACTGAGCTAGGGGTGGGGGCCCTCGTTGTCCAAACGGCGTTGACTTGCCCACGAACAGCCGCCCTGGGGTCATCCCAGGGGCAGGGAATGCGAACGTTGGGCCGGGTGACTGGCAAGGACTGGATCCCGGGGGAATGCCGCCACAGACCTGCGTGCGCCTGAGGCCTCCTTGTGCCTCTTGTTGTGTCCTGTGTGACCATGAGCAGAGTGGACGTGAGACCCTGGGTGTCAGGGGCTTCTGTCCCCCTCAACGTGTGGTTCTTGCTCCAGCCACCCCCAGCGCCTGTTTCTTGGGGTTGGAGAGGGCAGAGCTCGTGATGCATGCACCAGACTGCCAAAGACTGTGGGAGCCTAGGAGGCTGCTGAAGTACAGCCCTCCATGTTTCCCTGGGCTCACGATTCAGTAAGCTTTGGCTGGCCCTAGGGAAGAATGGAGGAGCCCAAGGCCACAGTGGGCATTGGGCGAGAGCATGTAATGTGAGGACCCAAGAGGAAGCACTGCCACAGGGGGAGAGACAGGACCTTGATGCAGGGCAGGAAGTGGTCTCCTGTCTTGCGCTAGTGGGAGAAAACCCTGGACTCCCTCTTCAGCCCTTGCCGATCTGGGCGTGGGGGCCCACATTGGCTGCGAGTGCCAGCACCGGAATGTATAGACCAGAACTGGGCCAATCTGGGGGAGAGCGTCCTCCTGGACATAACTTCTGTGACCGCCACCGTTTGCTGGGGGCTCCAGTAGACATCGGGGGAGCCCTCGAAACCTCTGTGTTCCCGGCCATGTTCTGGGGCCTTTCTCAGCAAGGGGAAGCTCCCACAGAGGCCCCAATCTCCATTGTTTCAGGAGGCCCAGGAATGGGCAGCTACTCCTCGGTGCCCTGCTGCTTGTTTGCGGACCCGAGCCATGGCTGGGTCAGCCACATGCGTGGCCATCTGCGGCCAGGCCTCCGGCTATGAAACATGGTGGCCGCACGGCACTTGCCACAGAGCAGGCCGTCCTGACAGCTGGCCTCTCCCTGTCTCCTTAGAGCCCCATCCCTCAGTGAGGATCTCGCCCTGATGACCAAGTCTTGCTTCTCCCAGCCCAACCCACAGGGCCCAGGTCTCGGGACCCCGGGGCATGGCGCTGTCCCGATCGCACCCTCGGTAAGCAGCTTCTCGGTGGGCAGGAACGTCACGCGGAACCCCCGGCTAGCTTGGGTCAATGATGAGAACTCATATGGTCTGGAAGAGCGGTGATGACCTAAAAATCATGCTCAATAGGATTATGCTGAGGCCCAGGGCAGGGGACCGTGCGAGGATCAGCATCCGCCAGGCCCTCGGGGCATGGAGGGTGCGCTGCAGCTGGGCGCTAGAGGAGAACGAACTCTCGAGCCCCTGTGCTCTGGCCCCGCAACGTCGGCACACCCGCGGGTGCCCACGGGCTGTTCTGGCCTTGAAGCCGGCCTGCCGACCCAATGCTCTTCCTAGGACAGCTCCCCGGGAGCCATGGCATAGCCACCCTCACTCCTTGTGTCTTGCAGCGGGCCTCTCTGGCACGGTTCTCGATGCGTCGACAACCAGGAGAGGTGAGCGACGCCTCTGGGCTTGGAGGGAGGGCCCAGATGCCTTGGCCTGGGATCGGGAAGCAGTAACACCAGCAGAGACTCTGCAGCTGGCCCTGGGCTTGGGGTGGGCATCCCCGTTGTCCACACGGGGTTGACCTTTACAGGAGCATGTGCCCTTGAGGCATGCCAGGTTCAGGGAATGTGAACGTGGGGCCGGGTGGCTGGCAAGGCCTGGTAAGCGCGGGGTGGCCGCCATTGGCCCAGGTGCCGCGGAGGCCTCCTGACACATGCCGGCGTGTCCCGTGGGCCCGGGAACGTAGTTGACGTCAGACCTGTGGTCTCACAAGCCTCTGTGTCCTTCAGCAACAGGGTGCGGCTCGAGGCCCGGAACTTGGCTGCTTTCGGCGGGCTGAAGAGGCCTGAGCTCCTGTCCCCTAGAGCAGATGCCCAAGGGGTTTGGGACACCGGCGGGCTGCTTCCGAAGAGCGCAGAAGGATTTCTTGTGCTCTCGGGACAGCAAGGTTCAACTGGGAACTGGCTCGGAATGTGCGAGTCCCACGCCATATCTCCCATGGGTTCGGAGCCTCTCGCCTGAGACTCTCAAGCACCCAGGACCGGGTCCTGATGAAGCGGCCCTGCATGGGGAGAGTCCGCTCCCTAGCCCAGGGCGGCCAGTGGGCGGTGTGCCTTGGGGCAGTGCTGGATAGGGACCTGACATTCACTGCTCAGCCCAGGGGGAACCCTGGGCCGGAGCAACCTTGGGCTTCTAGTGGGTGGGCTCTGATCCTTGGATCCCACGTGGGATGAGGTGTGGTTGGGAGGCGTCCTGGCCTTATGTCCCAGGCAGCCACACTTGGCTCGCATCCCCAGAAGACAACGGGAACCCATTGAAACCCTGTGTTCCGTGCCATGTTCAGGGGCCGTTCTGCGGAAGGCTGGGCTCCTACAGAGGCCACGATCTCCCTTGTTTGGGGATGCCCAGGTCAGGGCAGCTGGGCCCCTGGGCCCTGCTCCTTCCTGGCGGACACCAGCCACGCGTGGGTCAGCCATGGGCCAGGCTCCACCAGCCAGGACCTTGGGAAACGTCTCCCTCGGCCGCCTGGCCGGTGCCCCAATCCAGGGCGTTTTGACAGCTGGTCTCTCCGTCTCTCTTCAGAACCCCGTGCACAATCGAGGAGCTCGCCCGCATGAGCATGTCTTGCTTGGCCCAGCCCTGCCCACAGGTCTAATGTCTCAGTAGCCGGGGGCATGGAGCTGTACGGCATGAACCCCCAGTAAGCAGGTTCTCGGTGTGACGCGACTGAACGCATTTCCACCAGCTTGCTTGTGTCAATGATGAGAACTCATATGGTCTCGAAGAGCGATGATGGACAGCCCTACATGTTTCCTTGGGCTCACGAGTCAGCAAGCTTTGGCTGGCCCTTGGGAAGAATGGGAGAGCCCCAGGCCACAGTGAGCATTGGGCAAGAGCCAGTCCTTGGAGGCCCCCAGAGGAAGCGCCGCCACAGTGGAAGATTCAGGACCCTGTTGCAGGGCGGGCAGTGGTCTCCTACCTTGCGCTAGTGGGAGACGGTGACCCGCGACTCCCTCTACAGCCCAGGGCCATCTGGGCATGGGGGCCCATATTGGCTGTGAGTGTCAGCGCCCGGATTCATAGACCACAGCTGGGCCGACCTGGGGGTGGGCGTCCTCCTGGACATAACGTTTGGGACCACCACCGTTTGCTTGGGGCATCGCTGGACATCGTGGGAGCCCTCGAAAACCCTGTGTTCCCGGCCATGTTCTAGGGCCTTCTCAGCAAGGGGAGGCTCCCACAGGGGCCCCGATCTCCATTTGTTCGGGAGGCCCAGGAATGGGCAGCTTCTCCCCTGTGCCCTTCTCCTTGCTTGTGGACCCAAGCCATGGCTGTGTCAGCCACACGCCTGGCCATCTGCGGCCAGGGCTCCGGCTATGAAACATGGTGGCTGCATGGCACGTGCCATAGAGCATCCGTCCTGACAGCTGGCCACTCCCTCTCTCCTTTGAGCCCCATCTCTCAGTGAGGATCTCACCCTGACTACCAAGTCTTGCTTCTCCCATTCCCGCCCAAAGGGCCCAGGTCTCGGGACCCCGGGGCATGGCACTGTCCCGATCGCACCCTCGGTAAGCAGCTTCTCGGTGGTCCCTGCTCCTTCGTGGTGGATACCAGCCACGCGTGGGTCAGCCATAGGCCCGGCGTGACCAGCCAGGACCTTGGGAAAAGTCACCCTCGGCCGCCTGGCCAGCACACCAGACCAGGGCCGTTTGACAGCTTGTCTCTCCGTCTCTCCTCAGAACCCATGCACAATCAAGGAGCTCACCCGCATGAGCATGTCTTGCTTGGCCAAGCCATGCCCACAGGTCTAGTGTCTCAGCAGCCTGAGGCATGGTGCTGTGCGGCATGCACCCCCGGTAAGCAGGTTCTGGGTGCGACACGACCGCACCCATCGCCACCAGCTTGCTTGGGTCAATGATGGGAACTCATATGGTCTCGAAGAGTGATGATGACCTAAAAATCATGCTCAGTAGGATTATGCTGAGGCCCAAATCAGGCGTCTGTGCCGGGATCCGCATCCCCCAGACCCTCGGGACCCTGGAGGGGCGCTGCAGTTGCGGCCTTGAGCCGAACGATCTGTCGGGGCTCCCTGTTGGGGCCCTGGCCTGGTCATGCACGTCAGGGGCCCCCTGTAGGGCTTGAGGCAGGCCGCCCGGCCTAGCGACCCAAGCCCCCTCCCAGGACAGCTCCCTGAGCGCCATGGCTTAGGAAACTTGTCTCCTTGTGTCTTTCAGCGGGCCTTGGGCGCCAGGTTGTCAGCGCGGCATTGCCCAAGAGAGGTGAGTGGGAGACTCTGGGCCTGGAGGGAGATGCCAGGTGCCATGGGCGTCGTCCTCGAAGCCCGAATCACGGCAGGGGCTCTGACACCAGCACTGAGCTAGGGGTGGGGGCCCTCGTCCCAACGGCATTGACTTGCCCATGAACAGCTGCCCTGGGGTCATCCCAGGTGCAGGGGATGCGAACATTGGGCCGGGTTATTGGCAACGACTGGAGCCCGGGGGGGTGCCGCGTCAGAC